CTCCAAAAGAGCCCATGTAATCTTACTTCTCCAGGCTCTTCCCTTTCAATCTCTAAGCCATTACAAAATTTAAAAACTCTTTCGTGAACATGTCTGTATCTTTTTTCCCATGCTTTGAAATTCTTGTTTTCAGGTGAGGGGGGCACTGGGTAGGTCAAAGGGGAAGAGGAGTCTAGTGAGAATCAGACCTTGCACCTCAAGGATGTAGACAGTTACCACTCAACATCCAGTTCCTGCTTCTTCAGACTCACATTTGCACTAAAGTTGAACCATAAAACTTCTAAGCTATCTTAAGCTTAGTATATGCTTAGCTCCAAGGAACTTTCAGTGGATACTGCAGTATCTTTTTCCTACATTATTTTCTTACATTGCTCCTTCCATAGTTATATTCTGTGATTCTTACAATATTTCTGACTTAATTCGTTATGTTTTACTTTCAGAGCCATGGTTGAAGCCTGTGGTCTTCCAGATTCTTTCTTTTCTATTGCTTTTTCTTACACTCGTATTCTGTGATTTTAATATGTTCAGAATTCAGATCTAATTCCTTTATTTCTACTTTAATTCTATTTTTGGTTCCAGGAAGGGGAGAGCAAGGGTGAAAGAGAGAAATTAACTTAATTCTTTCCCCAAGGTAAGATTCTGATAATTTACTTCCAATCATTTTGTTTAGAAGGAAGTAAATCCAAAATATTTCTACTTCCTTTCCAAATGGGAAAAGCTTAGGTGGAGGGATATTCTGACCCCTTTAAATTTACTTCACCTCCTTTACTCTAAACAAGGGAACTCAACCTAATCCCACATTTCCTTGCAATCCTCCAGCTCCTTCTCTTTTCACCCCAACAACAGTATAAGAGCCATAGTTGATGCCTATGTTCTTCAGAATCTCCACAAAGAAAAATCAGTCAATATTGAGGCCATATAATGAAATAATAAAAACATGTGCACACCTGAATATGGTAGGAACTTTCAAAATATCTCCATTTCCTTCCGCAGAAACACCTTCTTTGCCAGGTGCACCTGAAAAGGGATCTGACTGCGAAAAACTGCCAAAATCCATATCTTCAAGATTTGAACTAAAATTTGTTAGTTCTGCGTTATTGTTATAGTCATTGTTGCTTTGCACCAGCATATTCTCAAATGGATCTTTGCTGGGTGCAGAGGTGGCAAAAGTATTCCACTCATCAAAAGAATCATGATCTCCATTTGTTGTATCAAGTTTAGGTGCAGGTACATTCTCAAATGGATCTTTGGTGGGTGCAGAGGAGGTAAGAGTATTCCACTCATCAAAAGAGTCATGATCTCCATTTGTTGTATCGTGTTTAGGCGCAGGTGCATTATGAGTCTGCCATGTGTCATCTTGAAACCAATCAATGCTAGTTGAGGGATCGTTTGAACTACTTTGTAATTCAGCATCCTTGGGTCTGGAAATTGGAAGAATTTCCCCAGCTTTCTGTGATGCTTCCAGATTTGCACTATCCCATAGGTCAACTGCTGGCCAGTCATTAGCTGCAGAAGAAACTGCTACAACATCCTTCAGTTTCCCTTCTGTTGGGCCTTCTGTGGTTCCAAAAACTGTGTCTAACTGAGCAGAAAGATCAATATCTGAGCCAACAAAAGCATCAGTTGATTTGGAACCTTCATGCTGGTTTCCAGAACTAACTGTGGAACTCGTATAGGTGTCAAACGCTGCAAAGGCATGCTGACCTCCAGAACCAACTGCAGAACTTATAGGAGAGCTAGATTCGTTGGACACATTCTGCTCTCCTGAACCAGCAGCTTGAAAATCTGCTTGCCATCCAGAAAAGTCATCACTTGTTTGGACAGTAGACGAGGTCACAGCTGGTTCAGCGGATCTGAGATTCTCAAACAAACTAAGATCCTCGTGGCTTCCAACTGTTTTATTTGCTGCAGACCCAATATTATCGCTTATGACTGTCTGTTCTTTGTGCGCAATGGATATGTTCTCCCTCTTTGGAAAAGAAAGAAAGTTATCCAGGTCAAATCCAGTCGGATCGTAAGAGCTTTTGCTTAGCTCTAGCTTCTTGGTCATGATAGGGTTGTCTGTCTCCAGCTCAGTTGGCCATCTTATTTTCAGATCAAGGAAATCAGATAAAAGAACTTCATCATGAGGTGAACTCGGCCCCTTGTTTACCTGATTCTTTTCAGTAGCTGCTCCAACCTTCTCCTGGAAACCAAATGGGACAAGTTCTTAACACATACTCCTAATTAAACAAGTTAACAAAATTCTATCAGAAATACTAGGAGGCATAAGAAAAAAAATATTGAAGGAAGATTTAGTGAGCAACAGAGACTGATATACACTCAATGGTTAGTGGATTCGAGTACTATTCAATCCACTAAGTCTTTTTTATATATAGCTCGACCCGTATCTGCACCTATATAGCTACAGAAAGATATATCGAGCCATAGGACTGAAGCATAAATCATAGTAATGACCAAAAAACACAAAGAAGCCCAGTCTTGGATTATCCGGCCTTTATAATGGAAGCAAGCAAGACATCAAGATAGAGCAATGAGCAAAATCGTGATTTGAGATAGAGGAAGAGAAATCCAATATAATCTAGGAAGGTGGATTTGGAGCACCACGGCACTTACTAATTCCTCGCCATGGATTAGAATTTAGTGTAAACATACCAGTTTCTAAAAAGATTTTTTTAAAAAAATATCTCATCTTGCATTATCATTCTCCCGTAACTGGTAGGAATACCCATACCCATATAAAACCCAGGGGTGTGTCCTAGTGATCAATAAAGTGGGTTGAGCACCATAAGGTCTCAGGTTCAAATCCTAGCATAGACAAAACACCAGGTGATTTCTTCTCATTGTCCTAGCCTTGGTAGACAGAGTTACATGGTAATTGTTGGTGGTGGGAGGTGGCAGGTATCCATTGGTAACTGTTGGTGGTGGCAGGTGGCAGGTGGCAGGTGGCAGGTGGCAGGTATCCAATGGAATCAGTGGAGGTGCTCGCAAGCTGGTGGTATAAAAAAATTACCCATATAAAGCAATAAGCAGAAGGGACACCCCATACGATCCACCAAGGATACTAAGTTAGTAGATTTGAAGAACAGCAGCTCTCACTAATCGCAGGTCACATAACTCCTTCTGCAATAGTGATCTATCTCGTCAATCCCCTGTCTTTGCCTAGCAAGATATGTCTAGTTCTCCCTCCACTTGCCTGTCTCAGTAGGAATTGGAATAATCTCTGATTTCAAAGAAAAAGCTGAGGCGAGAGCTATACCTTCTGGAACCGGAGCAATAACTGCTATAAAGTAAGGAGATGCCCAGGAACGATCCCTAAAACAAAGACTCGGAATGCTCCACGACTAAGTATACCCATTCAGACTCGCTTTTGTTCAATTATAAAAAAAACTCACAATAGGTTTGAATACAGTATAAATACAATGTATTTTCAAAATAAAATTCAAATCCTAATCTGCAAAACATAATAGAAAAGATCTAATCTTGCATTATCAATACTCCATAACAGGAAGCAACCAACACTATCTCATAGAGAAATAAGCAAACTGAGTGTGTTTCAGGTAGAGAGACCCAACATACCGATCCATCAAGGCGAAGAGCTCGTAGAAACCATTGATAGCCCACAGTGGACTTAAATGAAATAGGGTCAGGAGCAACGTCAGGGTTTTGGTGCAATTTGTGGCCACAATATATGCAAATCAAGGACTGGAGCCCTCTGAGAAGCCTACCTTGGCAGTGTTTACAGCGGAGATAGGGTGGAGAAGGATCGAAGGCGGCGACGGTGGCGGAAAGAGAAGACATAGCCGGAAGTGATGAGTCATCAGGGAGGTAGTCGGGTAGACCCGCTTCGGTTCGGGTCAAGATCTTGGCTTGTTGGATCAGATCACTTGGGAGCTCGAACGCCATTGTCGAGCAAATTGAACAGAGTGTTGTATTTAGTCAGGGATTATTTTTCTTTTCTTCACTTAAATCTACTGTCCGTTCCCAGATACTCTTTTTTTTATTTTCTTTCGAGTTAATTGTTGAAAACATTTTCAATACCATCTAAATTCTGAACCGTGGAAGAATTTATTTTTTATATCATATATAAATTGTTCTTAAATTTTGTGTTTGTTACGACATCATCATTTTACACATAATAAATTTGAAAAAATATTTCCTCACCAAATTATCAATTTTTTGCGAGTATACATGTTCTCTTTATTTATCTAAATTATTGAGTTAGCGAAATATTGTTCAAACCCGAATAAGCATCAGCATTGAGGTGTATTTAATTTTAATATAAAGAAAGTGATAATTTACTCTAGTTTAAATGGACAAATGAAATAATATATAGCTAAGATACGACACTGGCAAAAAATAATATTTTATGTATGTTTTGAACCATTTTAACTCTTTTATTCTTGTGCTTGGCACATTATTCTTTCCGTTTCCGTTTTGGATATCTGCCTTCATTCTCGTTAGCAGCTTTTTTGTGTGTGAAATTACATCACATCTTCAGCCTCACAAACAAACTATCTTTTTTTTTCCACCCGGTGTCCGGGCGCTCCCTCAACAAAAGGGACGCTGTACTCAAAGGGACTCAAACCCGAGATCTCTGATTAAAGATGAAGGAACACTTATCACTCCCCACGAGCATTTTATCACCATACTGAGAATTACAAAGCAGAAAAGACGAAGGAAGAACAAGTGTCCTATGGATTCAGGAGCATCAAAACATAAAGGACAGTGCAGTGTTTTTTGTGATTCCTCATTTGACAAACCTGTCTCTAGTATACAATCTTCCCATAGCTGTTACTTTATTAAATACAAAAAGTCACTTGGGAGCATCATAACATATTGTTGAATCCGAAGGCAAAAGGGCCACTTTTTTAAGCTAAAATGTCAAAACGGACAATCAATTCGTAGAAAAACCAAAAGATTAGTTGACAATTAGCCAACCACTGAAATGATTCAACTACCTTTCAGTTGCTAACCTCCAAACATATTATCTTACATTTCCGCCTGCATCTTATCTCCATTTTGCTTATGACAACCACTTGAATTAGAACAAAAATCTTATTCCAGCTTCCTCTGATAATACAGTACTGCATATGCTGCAACCATACTTGGTGTACAATCAGAAAACGGAACACTCATCTCCACCCGGGTTGAGCAACCAAAGCTAATCTCTGGAGGCCTTAGCAGCTTAATAACCTTTTCCGCAGCAATAATTTGTTTTTCTCGAAGGTTGTCATCAAGTATTAAATCCCTGCAATTTCAAGATTCCCGAGTGATACTGTAAGTCATTTTAAAGATTTATAGCATGTACTTTCACACACATAGGCACACAATTGTAGCTCTCTAATTTTCATCTTTAAAAACCTTTTGTTATCTTTGATTGGTTTCATCTGCATTTTCTAACAACGAAAAATAACAAACTGCAATGTGGAAGAAAGTATAATCTCCTGCCTCATGGTCAGCTCATCCATTTCTTTAGTATATATTCTTTTGATGAAAACATGCACCAAGAAGGCGCAGCAGGTGTGCAGTACAAAAGCTCAGTTCCTTATAAATGCAGGGAGCTGAGAAAGGCTAGCATGGACTCCATGTCATATACAGACAAAAGATTACACCAGAACTCCTAAAAATACAATGACTTTAACTTATACTTCAGTCTGTGTATAGGTATAACTTTTCCTTCAATACTCTCTCTTAATTCTGCCCCTTCTTTTCCATATTAGTATTATTATTGTTACTCTCTTATTATCTTTTTCTTCGATTTTATTGGTAACTGACAACTGTTGTTTCCTTTGCTTCGGTTATCGTATTATTTTGATGTTGTTACTGTTCTTTTCTCCATTATTTCCAACGTGGCTTCTTCACTACAGTATTTCCTTTTCACACATGCATTGAAATACTTAACTTGAGCCAAGGGTAATAACGGAAGCAGTCTCTCTACCTTCACAAGATAGGGGTTAGGTCTCGTACACACCACCCTACTCGGAATTCACTTATGGGATAATACTGGATATGTGGTTGTTGTAATAGTACCCAAAAAAAAGTGTAAGCAGCTTATGCATTTCATTGGAAGATATTGTCCAAGACAGTCATTTTATACATCACCAAAGTTTACCTAAATTGCTCCAGATAGAGTGAGAAACCAAAAGGGATAATGGTCATTTAGAGGAAGCTTACTTGAGCAATGATGCCAATTTCGAAGGTGTGCATTCCTGGAATAGAGCTTCAGGAATTACGGCTGAATCCAATAGAATATTAGGAAGAGAGATGTATGGTATAATAGCTTTGTAACGTATGAACCATTCTGTCAGGAGATGGGCTCGATATGCAACAACACATGGCAGTCGTGCAAGCTGCATCTCCATTGCAACTGTACCTGAAGTACATAGTGCTACACTGCTAGCCTGCATTATGCAGAAATGCAGTTCAAGTTACCAACTCCACCTTGAAACATTGCGTAACAAATTAACAATTTAGATATTCAACAACAACATACTTGGTGTAATCCCACAAGTGGGGTCTGGGGTGGGTAGGATGTATGCCAGCCTTACCCCTACCTTTGTGTGGTAGGTAGGTTGTTTCGATAGACCCTCAACTCAAAGGAGAAGTTATAGAAGTATAGATGCCAATGGCAGAAAGTGTGCAATCATAAAATGGACTCCACAATCCATACCCACAATTAAAGTAGTTAACCTATATAACTTTTTAACATTATCTTTATTCATACAGATGAACTACTCCCCCGCTTCAAATTATGTGACATACTTTGACTCAGCACAGAGTTTAGGAAAAATACTTTTGAATCTTGTGGCCTCAAATATGTCATACATTTGTGTGGCTATAAAAGTTCTTCGTTAATGACAAAATGAAAAAATTTCAAGTTAAATTGTTTTCTAGTATAGAAATGTGACAAATCTTTTTTGGAACGGACTAATGGAGAAATTGTTTCACATAAAAAGGAACACTCATGAACCATAAAAGTAAAGGGAAAAGGACAGTCATATGAATGGATCCACGTATTATCTCCATAGTTGATTTAGTCATACACAGAAAATGTCACTTCTTTACTCATTAGATGATTTAACAGCAGAAAGATGTTCTTAGGCTTTGTATGTCCTCCTAAATAATTACAAACAATGAACTGAAGTTTCAGTGTTTGGTATATGAAAAGAGAAAAGTATTGGTGGCGACAAAGTGTCAAGTAAATAATTCACGCACAATCCAAATACTAACAACTATATTTAGGAAAAGTCTGGTTGGTTAAACAAAGATTATCTAAAACCAGTCTTGGTGTAACCACTGACTATTGAAACATCCTACACCAGTTAAGAATCTAATCCACATTAGAACTCTTTGGATTACTAAAAGCAATGAAACAACTTAAGAAAGACAAGAATTTTTTTTGTGAAAGATTCTACCAATTGAAAAAAGCTCATAAGCCAAGTGTCAAGTCTTTTTCACTCGATCTTGTTCTGGATTTTTATTAAGCTTCAATCTGCCAAGAGCTTGATATATGCTACCTATCATCAAGGACAAAACTAGAACTGACAACATGGTTTCCAATTGACCAGCCTTTAGTAGCAAAGACTTGGTCATCATCCTTGGATACTAGATTCCCCCATCAAGTGGCTGACTCTTCCCAACTCACAGTGACTATCAGCCTCTCAGCATTGCGAAGAACAATTCAATGCAAAGAAGAATGAAAAGATGCTAGCATTCCATTACAAGGTGTAAGTAATTGAGGTTTGTACCTTATGAATACCACCAAGAGACTTGCCCCTTTTTCCAGTTACACCATATTTCAAAATTGAGTCATTTTGGTCACAGTATGTCTCAAAACAGTTGAGCTATTCTAGAATAGTGAACATTCAAACTTTTGCTGAGCCCCAAAAGTACAAAGCCAGAATAGAATGCATAACTCTAGTTCTAGCTACTTAACTAAAAACTGTATAGGTACAAGCTCAAGTGCTTACACTAAATGAATCGTATTTCATCTGGTGTGATCCTCCAGAAACCAATACAACAGATGATGGCCACTTACGAACAGCTTTACTGATGTAGTCTTCCACATGTTGATTAGGTGCCACATGAACTGCTGCTACCAAGTTCGGAAAAGAACCTTTTAATTGCTCCAAATTTTTAGAGAATATGGGGAACATTCGAGTAACCTCCTGTAATCTACTTCCAGGAAGCAAGGAAATAACTGGGGATCCTTCAAATTAAACAAGAAAACATAATTAGAAAGCTGACAAAGATAATCGAAACTGAGGGATTAGCACACATGACACAACCAACCAATGAGAAGGAAATCGATATCCATTTTTTTGGGTAAGACACTGGAAGGATAGAGATTTTAACATATGAGGAGTGAACACGGGGAGAAAATCTTGCATTATTAGATAAATGTCAAATTACAGCAAAAACATAGAAATATATTTTGTTCATAAAAATCAAAAGCTTTTCCCACATTAAACACCTTTGTACTTTCATCAAGAAATAAAGTTACAGCAGAAGCTTTCTAGAAACAGTATCATACAATTTAACATACCCGATGATATTCCATAACCAGTTAGAAATGCTTCAGCATTTCCTTCAATTCTGTATCTTCTTTCAGTGGCATCCTTCCCCTAAAATTCAATATAAAACTACATTAATATTAAATGATCCTTCCGTCAATCAACTACATTAGATTATAATTCACTGTTTCGTGGTGGAATAAATTAGAAGTTGTTAATTGACAACAGAAAAATGCAATTTCAAAAGTTAAAATACCATACTCTGACCTGAAGACATTATGATGGAACCAATCTATCAGAACAATCATACAAAATTTCTAAGTGAATTGTTTCTTGATAGGAGTTTCTCTATTGTACCAGCAAAATCATACCTGAATTCTCAGTAGATTGTTTCTTGAAAAGAAAAAATATCTGCATGCCCAAAAGCTAAAAAGCCAGATTATAGTACTAGAACTTAGAAGGCATAATTTGAGTGGTGAAGGATGCACTACTACGTCATTAGTCGTTATTACTGCTTGTCATGTACCAAACGTTAAATAGAACACATATCAAAATACTGATTTACCTGGCATTCCGGAATATCTTCAAGGGTGGGATGACCAACAAAGGTTGCTGCTACGCCATTTGATCTACAGACTTCTGCCTCAAATGGAAGAATGCATAATACATGATCCACAAAGTGAAGAAGTCCTTTAAGTCTTGCTTCACCGCCTTTCCAGGCCCAAAATGATGGTGATACATAATGGAAGTGCAGCGGGCTAACCATCCCCTGTTGAACACAAGCAGCTGCAAAATGTATTTCCTATATTCCTAATACCTTACTTTTCCCAATACAAAGGTAAACTTGAAAATCTCTTTCGAACTCACAAAAGCTACAGAGCATTACCCCTCAGATGCTTTAGGAAACGGAAGGAAAATCCTTTAGCGTCTACAGTGAGTACGACATGAGGCTTAAAAGAAAGAGCAGCTTCTATAGTTTGCTTGAGCCTAACCTGACATTTTAAAATCCAAATAAGCTCCTTATTTCATGCATATATCAAACCATTCAGACAGCATAAATCTTTTCCTTCAAAATGTCACTTCAAGTAAATCACTTGGAAAAACTACAACTTGATTTTCTTTATGCAGATATTCATAAGTATCCGTACTCTAAACTGATTAAGATACGGCAGCAACTCCCAAATGCCCATTACTGCAATATCCTCCATCGGGAACAAAGGATTCAACCCTTGCTTAGACATCATCTTCCTGGAAATATACACAGAAATAACAATGATAATTAAGGAGTTGACAACTTGACTTATGCATGAAGCATTATTGACTAGTGAAAAGCATAAGATACTTTCAAGTTTAAATTTTAACTTTAACAAGCTGATATCAATCGTCAATAAGGGTGCGAGAAAGAATGAAAACATCTCAAGCCATAGTTATCGATTATGTGAACACTATAGTAGTTTAGAATCTTAAGAGACTAAGGGGTCGTTTGGTACAAAAATGCATAATGAAGGGATTACTAACGCATGGATTAGTAATACATGGATTAGTAATGTAGGGTTTAGTAATGCAGGGATTAGTTTTTATCAAGTGTTTGGTTCATTGTTTCCCACCTAATCTTATGTTTGGTTTAAAACTCTAGAAAAAGTTTCTTTTCTATTATACCCTTGAGTTATTATGAGATTTTATATTACGTTTAACTAGTCAAGTTAGATACTAAAATATTATAAAAATATATATTATTAATTTTGAGGTGTGATATGCCACTATAGAGATCCTTGATAGCATGGTATATTTCTAATTTTTTGTTGGTCAGATATACCTTAAACTTAATATGGATTTAAGGCTACTTAAATTGTTCAAATACATGAAGCTTATTTTTAAAAAAAAAAAAAACAGTTCAAGTGGTCAATCGACGAACTACATTTTTTTTTAAAAACCCAAAAAAATCAACCCAATATAACAAATCAAACATGGAGAAAAAAATATTAGTTTGTGAGATCATCAAATTACATGGAACGAATTTGGGGAATGTAAAAGAATATTTCTAAATATTCTCATATAAATAAAAAAGAACATTAAATTACAAAAAAAAATGGAAAAAAGATTTGGGGATAGTTTAGTCCTTTTGGGGTCTTATCCAAGGATTGTTAAACCTTGGATTAGTTATCCCTCCCTTTTCTAGGGATAAAATAAGACATTGTATGAGGTATAACTAATCCATCCTTTTCTAGGGATAAAATAAGACATTGTATGAGGTATAACTAATCCATGGATTACTTTAAATAAAGTAACCAAACAATGTTTTTGTTGGACTAAATTTTAATCCATGGACTATTTTGATTAATACCTCCTACCAAACGGATCCTAAGAGTGTACCTCAAATTTCCTATAGACTATGTGAACACTATAGTACTCATCCCTTTCAATTTGTTTGTATTATTTCCCTTTTTAGTCCATTTCAAAAAAATGCATCTTTACTTTTCTGGCAACTCCTTAATTCTAACTTTTCACATGACATATTTAAGACTACGAGATTAAAAGACATTCTAGTACAAAATTCAAAAGTTTCTTTAATTTCTTAAAGTTTTTGTCTAAGTCAAAACGAGATAAACAAATTAAAACAGAGGAAAGGCATACAAAGTTGCGGAAAAAGAACTGTTCTTGGCAAACCAAAGAAGACAGAAAATATGATAAACAGAGAACTAAAAGAAAGTTAAACGTTACCCTCCAACACCAGCAAAACGAACAGGCAAAGGAGAAAGCTTTATTAGAGAACCCATTACACGGGACCCAATTGTATCACCAGAAACCTCCCCAGCAACAATGAAGACCCTAAGTTCACCATCTTTTGAAGCAAAATCAACTGCAGATTGACTTGAAACTGAGAATGTTCGTCTCATTTTCCGCATCAACTTCATGTTTACCCCCCAATTCACATTCCAAATTCTTCTAAAACCCATATCTTTGCAAACCTATCATCAAAATAATATACACAAAATCTTAGAAAAACCCTTAATTTGAAAAGTACTAAAGCAGTAAATGAAATGGAAATTTCATCCAATCACTGAACTTGATTCTTCTTTTTGCCTGGAAAATGGCAGAGACTGAACAGATTCACCAGCTCTCCATCTCTTCTTTCCCTTCTTCTGGAAAAGATTAGCAAAAAGACCAAATGACAATTTGGTTCAAAATCAAATTATTTTGATATTATAATTTTTATTCTATTTAAAATAAATTATTTTGTGATTGTAATAATGTATCTTTATTAATCAATGGAAAAGGGTCAAAATTACCCCTGAACTATGCGAAATAGATCACTTATATCTTTCGTTATATTTTAGGATAAAAAATGTCTCGCTGTCATCCTAAGAGATCATAAATACCCTTAAGAGTAAACACCCCAAATATTTAGGGCTCGTTTGGTGTGAGGGATTAGAAATAATAGTGATGGGATAAGGAAATAGTGATGGGATAAAAAAAAAATTATGTTGTTTGGTTGGCAAGTCCGGGATAACTTATCCCGGGATTAATAATTAGTACCGGGATAAGTTATCCCTCCCCATGGGTGGTATAGTAATCCCGGGATAACTTATCCCGAGATAGAATAGGTAAATGACAAATATGTCCCTTTAAATCCTTTTTATATATCATTTTTTACATTTATGTATATTTACATTTTTTTTAATACCATGTATAATAATATTTACTACTCCTTATTTTTATGATAATTATACATATTTTTCTATTAAAAAATTATACTATATAAATATAATTTTTATTTATGAATTTATTTGACTAATTCTTATGTTTATTTTATTTTGATTTCTCATAAATTTTCTTCTCTTTAATAAACTTAAGAGGAAAGTTCTATTTTTAAGCTAAATAAGAAAAAAGTTATATTTTTAAATACACATGGTACTTATCATGGGAATACATAAACAAAAATATTTAAGTTAAAAAAAATAAAAGTTTTATTTTAAAAAATGAATAACTAAAGCTCACAAAGAAAAATTTAAAAAGTTTAAATAAAGTGAAGGGTAATTTTGTAAACAAACAACTTGTTCTTAAAATTTATCAATATATATTATTTTGAATATAACAAACCAAACACTCAATAAGAAATAATCCCAGGACAACTTATCCCATCATAACTAATCCCAACATAACTTATCCCAACATAACTTATCCCATCATAACTCATATTCAAACCAAACGACCCCTTAGGGACATGGGACTAATCCCTCCACCTAAGCGTTACCAACTAGGATTCACTATAAAAGAACTAGACATTTAGCGGCGACATAAGTCGCCACAAATACCCAAAATATCGCCACTAAAGATTTTAAATGATTTTTAACATTAAATTCTAATTTTGTGTCTTTTTCTTCATTGTTTTAAAAAAATCACAAATGATACTTATTGATCAAGGAGGAGTTTGAAGACACTATATGTTTTATTTTTATGATATATGTAAATGCATAAAATGTACTATCAGGGGCGGATGTACAGTGTGTCGAGGGGGTTCATCTAAACCCCCTCGATAAAAAAATTACATTGTATATATAAGATCGATTTTTCTGTTTACGTGTATATATTTAAAATTGAACCCCTTGAGCATATGTCAAAGGAGTAGCTCAATGGTAAACTGGGTTCAAGAAAGTGCATTTTGTGGGCTTGGTCGCAGGTTTGAATCTAGCGAGTAGCAACCTTTTTTTTTCTAATTTAGAAGCGTTTTGCTGGCTTAAATTTTAAGTGTTTTTATTAAAAATAAATAGAACAACGACGACATTTCATTAATGACTAAAATTTTATATTTTAAATCTTTAATTGAAAAGTCAACAAATAAAAAACCCTCTTTTTTCTAAGGATTTCAATATTCTATTTTTTCCTCCTAGTCTTCTCTTTCAACTAGAATACTGCCTCTTGTTTTGCTGCTCGTCTGATGCCTGCTCCTGCTTGATGTCGCTGCTCACTGTCGTTGGTGGTCCTCCGATCTCCGCGGATCATTTCATTCTATTCTCCATTCATGATTCGACCATTGATGGCAACCTCTGTAAGTTCTTGTATTTTTTGTTTTTTAAAAAAAAAAAATCAAAATTCTATATGTGTAGTGTGCCAAAAAGAATTTTTGTGAGTTTTTGCTTTGATTTGTGTTTATTGTCAGTCTTTCTAATGTTAAATTTGTGCTTGCTCTCCATTTGCACTTTCAGGAGCCGGAGACAATTCTAAAGGAATTGAAGAACTTGTAGAATTTTTGAATGAGTTGTGCTACTTTATTATCATTTTATAGATATGTACTTTAAATTTGTTTCTTATGATAAGTTGTAATAGTAAGAAATTATTTGAACTAAGGATTTTTTTGTCAACCCGTTTGTTATTCAATCCGTTCATATATGATCCGACCCGACCCGACCCGTTTATTTATGGATATTATTAGTGTGATTATTTTTTTTTTTAACCCCCTCGATAGAATTTCTGGCTCCGCCATTGTGTACTATGATGCATTATGTAGTAGGAGATTTGAATCGAGAAGTAATTTTGATGATTTTTGTAATAATATTGAATGTTTTTAATATTGATAGTGCATGTTATTTATTTTAAAAATTAGGTTGCAACCGAAAATTAATTATCATATTTTTTTGTTGAAAAAATATGTTATACTAGGGAATGGTTGTTGTAGCCTTAGTCATCACTAAAAATCACTCATAATCTTTAGAGGCAATATTTTGGGATTTTGTGGCGACTTTTATCGCCTCTAAAGGTCTAATTCTTTTGTAGTGAATCCTATTTGGTAACACTTAGGTAGAGGATTTAGTCCCATGCGGCTTGCCACGTCACTAAAAATTTGGGTAGTTAACTCTTGAGGGTATTTGTAGTCTCTTGGGATAACGGTAAGGGTATTTTTGATCCCAAAATGTAATAGAGGGTATAAGTGGTCTATTTCGCATGGTTCAGGGGTATTTTTGACTATTTTTTGTTTAATCAAATACAAAATAGATTTGCTTTAATATTTTACGGAAAGGGGTCATATTTGCCCTTATCCCTTCAGAAGGGTTATATTTGTCTTTGTTATACTTTTTTGCTATATTTATCTGTGTCATCTAACTTTAGCCACATATTTACCCTTGGATCGTTAAGTGTCTTATCATCATAAGTGGCGCCCACGTGACACGCTTACATGGATATATATATATTTTTCCCTTTAAATATTTTTTCTAATTTAATTATTATACCCAATCCAATATTACCCACCCATTTAACTCATAAAACTCAACTCCTAATACTTATTTAGCTATGTATATTGTGATTTTGATATTCATATGCAATGTGTCCTTCTGCCCCTAATTGATGTTCTTCACATCACCATCATCATGAACTTGAGCTCATATTTTAATCCCCTTTCGATAATGATGCAGATGTTGTTTTTGTTTGAGACAATGCGATTCTTAATTGCTGGTTGAATTATTGTGCTAATTGTGATTTTGGCACACATCTCGAATGAGCCATTTTCAAATCTGTTGGACAACAAATCGAAACTACCGATCAACAAATCAAGAGCAAATCGAGTAATAATCAGTCAAACAGAGGAGGAACCAATCAAGATACAAGAAATCAATCATGAAGATGAAGATAAAAACAGAGGGATGACTAATGAAGAAATTAAAATGATACATTTTAGCCACTCCATGCTTTGGCACTCTCTGAAGTTCAATAAACAATAAAAATGATGGGCAGTCCCAGTTCTTTCTCTGTTAAAAGTTTGTGATTTTCTCCTGGAAAAGTCATAATCTATCTACATAAGAAAAACCACCACATGTCAGCGCCACAAATTTTCAGAATTTTAAATAATTAATAATTAATAATTAATTATTATTTAACTATTATCTATCTATAAATATAAAATTTTAAATTATAATAGACACATGTCATCAACTTACATAAATACTGACAAATATTAGAATTTCTAAAAACATATTTAATTTTTATTTCAATATAATTTATAAATTAGTTAAAAATTTATTTCAATCATTTATAAATTAGTTAAAATTTGATTTTTTTTTAGTATATGACAACTTCAATATTTTTTAAAAATACTTTTTTTTTTAAAAAAAAACTACAGTTGTCCTCAAAAACTTTATATCTCTAAATTTTTCTAATTATCTTTTATTAAAAGAACAACAATTTTAAAAAGGAAAAAAAAACATACGTAAATTAACATTAATTTAAAACGGAAAAAGCATTGCCTCTTTAATTATATATCTAAATTTTACTAATTATCTTTTATTAAAATAATAGTATTGCTTTATATTTTTAAAAAACTAGAAAAATATTATCTTTCATTATTTAAATGTATTGCTTTATATTTTTATAAAAAGTAGAAAAGAATATATAAAATAAAAAACGTTGTCCATCCGCCATTTTAAATAAGTAAGTAGCAAAACTTTCCACTAATTAACAAAACTGTTAAATGAATAAATAAAATTAAAATAAAAAAATAAAAAAATATAAAATGTTGTCCATCAGCCGTTTTTAAAATAAATAAATAGTAAAATCATCCACTAATTAACAATAAACTGTTACATGAAGATATACTTAAAAAAATAAAAAAGATTTTAAATGCACTTTTTCAAATTACATAAACAACCCATGCAATATTTCAATCACTATTTTTTGAATTTGAATTTAAAGTGGTTATTAAAACCGCTCCATCCATTATCTCTACTAGTTTACGTATCCGCGCGTTGGGCGATAATTTATAGATAATTTCAAAGTCAACTATTATAAAATAATATAGTAAAGTTTATATGAGATAATGTTGTGAAAACAAATCAATATTTAAGTTTAGTTATCTAAATTTGACAATAATGAATTTTAGTATTATTTTATTTATTTATTTATTAAATTATTCAAAATCATAAATACTCTCACACAATCTATATCATCATCTTGTTAGAAAAATAAAAATATAATAACATTAAACATTAGACAAAAATAAATTGTAACTAAGAAAAGTTTTATGATTATGATAATGTTAAGCATAAAATAGTTTTAAACACTTGATTATAAGCATGATATTCAAAATTTTAAATTTTATCTTTTATTTTTTCTGAAAATTAAGTATCAATTATATGATACTTTAAAAAA